GTACATCCTGGAGTGAACGTGAGATTAGCCCCATTTGCATTTTCCCAATCTGTTCGTCTCCTGTTTGTAAAGGGCTTTGGGGCCACTTTGTCAACTACGATTTCAAAATCGATGTACTGATGGTCAGAGAATGAGCAGTCACTTGAGATTCTTCATTCCCTTATCCTATCATGATGCATAGAACTAACCATCGTAAAGTCAAGAACTTCCCTTCTGTTTGAAACAATAAAGGTCGGTTCGTATCCTGAATTTAGAATATCAAGATTATTGCTTAGAATGAAGTTAAAGATTGACTCGTCAACTGACTCTTCCTCCTCCTTAACCAACTTAGAAGTTGATTGACTCAGTGAAAGGTCAGTCTCGTCGCAAGACATATCCGCAGCGGATTGGTCAGGATCGGGATCATCCTGTTCCAGTAGTCCCTTGTCATCGCCTCGGTAGACACGAAGGAAGATCGACTCGAAGCCGTAGTAGACCTTCCCTTGTCTCTCGCAAAGCGGCGCCAGTGACTCTTGGTTCAGGATCACAACAATCCTTCTGGAGCTTCCTACAGGTTGAAAAAACCCCGACGACCTTCCAGTCTTGAGTTGGAAGATCCGGATTGCCAACCTGTAGTAGTTCCAGTATGTCTTTTTATGTGGTTCCGCAGGAATTATGGCGGTGGATCTAGGGCTTTGTGGAATCTCGTTCACAGAGACCACTTCCAGCTAATTTTGCTGCATCCAGCTTTGGAGCCAGATGCTTATATTGTTTTGCGACTGCAGGATCCAGGCTTCCCTAAATCCGCAGACGCTTTGGTTTTGGGTTTGGCGCCGGTAGCATTCAGACTAGCCCGACCCGGTGTCTCCGCCGGACTAACCTGGGTGGCAGTAGCACTCGACTCTCCACAGCCTGTCGCCTTCGCCGTGGGGGTAGGGTCTCCGGAGATTATTAGGCCCCTTACCGGATACGCGGGGCACGGTTTCTTGTCGGACATTGGACATTAAAACGGTGTGCATTTTATACTTGCTGCCAAGTATATGGTTTTGCATATGATGTGCTTGCAGATCACCAAGCCGCTCAATGTGGGAACAGACGCTGGTGGATTTAGACGGACCGTCGTGGAGTTTAGGGATCTAAAGATCCCGAACGGACTGTACTGTCAAAAGATACACATCAGAAGGATGAGTAGAGGTCTTTTGACAAGTATTTGGACTGATAGCCGCCCCATCGGGGAGAAACAGACGCTTCCAGTCGTGGGAAGGGTAGTTCTTAGTATGTGCTCGTCATGAGCCCCTACCAGCACGGCCTGCATGGGTCATCATGGCCTTCGCATCTCGTCAAGATGACTACCCGTCGCGAAGGTGGCTATAACTTATTAAAATTTCTTACAAAATTGATGGCGGGCCTATTCGGAAATGCATCATTGCGCTGCATCTCATGCGCTGTACGTTCGAAAATGCATCACAGAAATAATGATGCTCAAAAAAACGGCAAAACACGCATCATAAAAATGGCTGATGCGATAAATGACTAGCTATTTAGATTTTAATTTCTCTAAACTTTATTTGTATTTACACGTTTTTAAGCGACAATAAAACTATACATACAATGAGCATCATTTTATATGCATCAGCATCGCAAACTAATAATCAAATGCAGTACAGAGATGCATTTCCGAACAGGCCCATCGATTCCGAACCTAAAGTACTTTAAGCATGAGAAACAATATTTTTCTCAAAAGTAATCAATAAACAAGTAAGAAAGTATAGTCGGGCGTGGCCGACCATATGATACCCTACACCAGTTATGAATATTAAATGTGATTTATTTTTCATAATAAAGCATTTATCTAAAATATCCCCTTGTTCCGATAAATTTAAGCAATTTATGGATGAAAAACTAATTTTCTGAAAGAGGCTTTATATGGGGGCTAAGGGCAAATATGGACCAAGCCCGATAAAATTTTGTGAATATATTTATATTTACATAATATTTTATTGTGCTGAATTTCATCACGATATTTGTGTTTATAAGTTAATTTGGGATATTCAAGTAATTTTCTGAAGGGGACTTTGTATGGGAGCTAGGGTCAAATGGGGCCCGATCTTTATGAAATTTGGCAGGGTCATCAAGACTTCTATAAAGCTTAGTTGTGCCGTATTTTATCGATATATCTGTATATTTAACATAATTATGAGCTCAGAAGCCCTTTTCGGGGGGTTCTGTTCTATGGGGGCTAGGGGAAATAATGGACCGATTTTAACCATTTTCAATAGGCTTCGTCCTTGGGTCAAATAAAACGTGCGTGCCAAATTTCATCCAATTATCTTGAAAATTGCGACCTGTACCTTGCGCACAAGGTTTACATGGACAGCCAGCCAGACGGACGGACGAACGGATGGACATAGCTTAATCGACTCAGAAAACGATTGCCGATTGGTATACTTTAAGGTGGGTCTAGGACGAAAATTTTTGTATGTTACAAACATCAGCACAAATATATATACCCTCCCCACTAAAGTTGTGTAGGGTATAATAATGATACTTCCACATAAAGCATAAAAAATAACAGCTCGAAGTGCTGTTTCATCGATTTAGCTAAAAATAATCTTGAACGATTTGGAGGTAAGAGTTATTCTGTAACAATATATTATGATAACCAAGGATGTATTGCAAGAGATTCAGACAAATATCAAATACCATTTCATTTAAGATCATTTAGCTCAAGGTAATATAAACGTGGAATATTCAAAGACTTCTGTTCCATAGATTTAAATACAACTCACAAAACTTTGATATATCCCTCAAATTTCCTAAGAGTAGTCTTTTATTTTTATTAATTTTGGTTTCAATTTGGAATACTCAAAAATCCTTTTTCATTAACAAGTTTTTTTGCTTTTTGTGCCATGAATTTTGATACACGAAATACAGGCACCATTTTTCGAATCAACCACCAACTCTTGGGCTATTTGTGAGAAGTTGATTTTTTTCGCTATTATTTTCAATAGTTACGAAAGTTTCCGATTCTGGACACTTTTGAGAAAGTGTCGGTGGTCTTTTCGTTAGTTGGGTCATTGTCCAGAGTCCTAGGAAAAAGTCTTCCATAATTTATGTCTTTCTTGTATTTGATACGATTATATTCTGTACCTTTGAGCATTGATTGTATTGCCGAATGAGCATATCTTAAGGACCATGGATTTTTCATCAGGGTTCCGGGTTCTTTTGCATTATCTGCTTTTACATTCCCATAAATATCCTTGTGACTGGGTATATATGTAATTTATTGTCATCAAAAGGGTTTTTCATCTTACCCAGAAATCTTCCAATAAAAATTATAGCTTTGGAATCTGGGTTATATTTTACTGCAGGTTTCCTCGAAGAAGTTAAAATCAAAGCTTAATAATGATAATCGATTACATATTGAATATAACTCATAAATCATCAGCCTTAATATGGTTCATAGAGAAGTTTTTGTGAGAAACTGTCCTGCCCAAATACCTGAACGAGTTGACATATAAAATGGATGAGGAGTCTATTATTAAATTTAACGACCTTTATTGAAATGAATAGCCTTTGTCTTTTCAAAGCTAAATAATAGTTCCAGATTATTACAAGTTACTTACATAACTTATCCGAAAGAAATTGTGCAGATTAAAATTTTTGGTACCTTTCGATCTCAAGGCAGGTAAATACTCAGCATTCTCTAGAATTACAAACTTGTTGGAATAAGATTATCTATAGTCATCAATTTCTTCATGGAATATACTTTTGACCTTGTAAGGCAATCTTTAAAATTTGAGAACTTTAACTCCAAACTGATATTATCAACAGTATGTTGATTGTAACATTTACGACATAGTTCGAAATTTTGTTTAAAGTGCTGTGGAAATGCTTAAACCTATAACAACGTCCAAACGAAATGTAGTAGCTAACCTTGATTTTACATTACATGATTTCATTGGATCCAAACTAAAAAAAATATTAAAATTCTACGTCCACTAACATAAATACTGTAATTTTTTTTGTATTCAAATATACAAACAATGGTTATAGAATTTGGAACCAAACAGAAAATATTTACAGCTCGCAATATAAGAGCTAAATTGATTTCAGAATGACACGTCAAGAGCTGAGGGTTGAGCATTATTAGTCATATCTGTATGTAATTATGTAGGTAAACGATCCATGACTGATGCAGTGAAAATTTCTATTGTTCATAATTAATTAATGTTTCATAAGTGTGATTTGCCGTTAAAGACATGTAAAAGTAAAATTTTTGAAAAAAAAATCTTCGTCATTTCGACTGCAAAATCACCTAAAGTCTTTTTTATCAGCATTGGTGTCAATTGTATTGATACGGCTGTATCTAAAAGCCATACCAATACCACAAAAACCGCCCTATCATTGTTTATAGGCCTTCAACGGAAGACCGTTTAATAGGCCTTTTTGAGTAAAACCTCTATCAGCCCCCTAACACAGCGGTTTCCGCCGTTTTTTACCTCGCTGACCCCCATACATATCGTATTGTTCTAAATAATTGTTCATCCGAAAATTGTCCTAGCACTGGTCCATGAATCCATAGGTCAATGTAGAGATGCCATATCAATTATATATTCCCGGATCGGGATCGGCCTATATTTTCCCTGGTAAAAATAAATACCTGGGAAAATATAGGCTGATCCTTATTAAACTTGGTGAAGGGATTTGTTTTTAATTTTTAAGAATTAATCAAATTAAAAAAAATATTTTTTTTTTATTTTTTCCATCCCTTGGATTCCGTTTTTATTTAAAATCGTTGAAAATTTAAAAATTAAACGTATTTGTCAACTTAGCCGGCTTACAGTCGATTTTAAGCCGCCGCCGTTACTTTTAGTGTCAGCCGACGCCGACTTTAATATTGAGAACTTAGCCGGCTTACAGTAGATTTTAAGCCGCCGCCGTTATTTTTAGTTTCAGCCGCCGCCGACGTTAATATTTGTCGGCGCAGGGCTCCGGTAGCTATGTAGTAACCGCTTTAATAATAGAGTAACCGGTATTTGCAAAGAAAAATAGTCTGATTTTCTCAACGCAACGTTGTGTAGCTGTGTGGAAAAAGGAATATAAATTTAATTTTTTTGTTCGCTGAATTTCTAAATAGTAAATGTGTGTTATTTTCATATTATCAATATTAATGCCAACAGTAGATGGATGTCAGTAAAGAATAATTGGAAAAGCTATCCTGCCTACGAATATTTATAAAAGAAATCACACAATTTTTGTTGGTGCTCTTTCCCGACAACTAGTGAAGTGAGTACAGAAGGTTGGCACGCCAACCATCCAACGGCTTTACTAAACAAGCGAAGTGGGAAATTGTAGATCGTTGATGGTCTGCAGAGCATACAAACTAAAGTATTATAAAGTTTTTGTAATTTCAGTTCGTACTTAAGAAAATAAACAGCAAAATAATGTCATATCCACCACGCCCACCTATGCCACCATACATGAATCCCTCCATACCACCGCCTCACGTATGTATTGCCACATTAAAGTGGTTGATGAATAAAAAAATATAATTATTTTTCTCAACAGATGATGGGACCGATGGGAAATCCGCCACCACATTCAAGAGGTTATAGAAACTCGGCAACTATCAGTTCTCAACCAACGGTTTATCAAAGGCCGCCAGATCCAGTACCACAATTTAAAGGACCAATCATTACGGTGTTTGTGGGTAAATAAATATTTATTTGTTTTTCCAGCAATAAGTATCTTGTAATCGAAGACTTTGTTTTCTTAAACGTTCAAAGGAAATATTAGTGAACGGGTACCGGAGATTTTAATAACACGTATCTTGTCCACTTGTGGTCCCGTTGTTAATTGGAAACGAGTTTCGACATTTGGTTTCTGTGAATATGAGTGAGTACAAAATTACTTTATTAAATTCCAAATTTAATTTCTATGCGCTTTGTTTTTGTTTTGTAATCAAATAAAAGTGGTCCCACTGCCGGCATGCGAGCTGTTCGTTTACTAAGTGAAATCGAATTGGACGGCAAAACGTTGGTAGCGAAAGTTGATGCTAAAAATAAGCTTTTGCTGGACAACTTTAAAGAGGAAGAGCGTAAAAATGGAGCAAGTGAAATGCCAGATGAGAAAATTGACGATGAAGATGCGCTGCGCTCAATGAGACGAATAATTGATGAGCACAAACATGAAATGGACGAATTTGATCCCAATGCGCGCACTGATTTATATGGAGTTCGTGGTGTTAAAACTAAACCTAACCGCAATGATGAGATCAAAGTTCCCAAAGTACTACACGAGACCAACTTGGAAGAGGAAAAGCGTAATCTGATCAGCAGTGAGATTGGCAAATTCCGTAAAAAAGCTGAAGCTGACGAACATCGCAAGGAGAAGGAAAAAGAGCGTGAAAAGGAAAAGGAACGCGATAAAGAGCAACAGAAAGAAAAAATACGTGAAAGAGAAAAGGAAAAAGAGAAGAAAAAGAGAAGCGAAAGTGTCAGCGAGCAGGACTGGGATGTTGAAGAAAAGGTGGGCGGTAGTGATGGCGTTTCAATTGTTTCGACCAATAAAAAGGAACGCACAGTTGATATTTCGTCTCCAATAAAAAAAGAAAAGGAACGGGAAAGTGGTTCTAAGGAATCAAGGCGTAAACGCAGTCGCTCCCGCTCAAAAGATCGGGATCGTGAATATAGAGAACGGGAACGAGAGCGTGAAAGAGAACGCGAAAGGGAGCAAAGAGAAAAGGAACGCGAACGCGAAAGGGAACGGGAAAGAGAAAGAGAGCGTGAACGGGAACGCGAAAGAGAACGTGAAAGAGAACGAGAAAGGGAGAGAGAAAGGGAACGTGACAGAGAACGTGAAAGGTAGGTTTTTATGCAGTTTCTAATGGGTATAATTCATTCGATCAAAATTGTTTTAGCTTTATCAGATTATGTTAGATTTTTTAATCCCAGTTCAAAATTCAGCATTTCACATACGTAAATAAAAAAATCGATAGTAAAAGTTTTAATAAAAGAAGGCTATTAAAATTCCACTTGGAAAGCTGAAAGTAATTTCTTTTATACTGAACAAGCAAATAATTATTTCGACTTTCGATCGGAATGAAATTTAAGTTATCATTGAATAACACTTTTGTAATTATTTTAGAGAACGTGAAGAAAAGGTAGTGAAAAACGTTAGAGACGTGCAGCGTGAAAAGGAAATTGAGGAAGAATTGCGTGAACGTAAGAAGGCTGAAAAGAAGGCACGCGAAAAGGAAGAAGCTTATCAAGAACGTCTAATAAATTGGGAACAAAGGGAAAAACGCAAAGCTAAGGAATATGAAAAGGTTTGTTTTATTAACAATATCAAAATCAAATAAATTTGTTAATATTTTTCATTTGTTAAATTTAGATACGTTTAAAAGAAAAAGTAAAACAGGATGAACGTGAAAAAGAAGCAAAACGCCTTAAAGAGTTCCTAGAAGACTATGATGATGAAAGAGATGATATCAAATATTACAAGTAAGCTTTATTATTTGTATTTTGTACATAATTCTTTTATTTTTCATTCCATCTAGGGGTCGGGAATTGCAACGACGCCTGGCGGAGCGAGTTCGAGAAGCAGATTTGGACGCTAAGGATCGCAACAAGGAACAAGAAGAGTTGGAAGAACTTAAAAATAAAATATTTAGCGGTGAATTCGAAAATCCCTCACAAGAATATGAAAGAGCCAAAAAAGAACATGAAAAATTATACCGGCCGCAAATTATCATTGATGTTAATTTGGAGAACTTGCAACGAAAGGAAAGGGAACGTAGCAGGGAAAAACACTGCACTAACATGTCTTCGGAAAAACGTTTAAATTCAAATGATATCTACCATAGAAGTGAGGATAGTGCGTTAGGTGCAAATAGTGCGCCTATGCGACCACTTTCAAAGGCCGGCTCAGTTGAATCATCATCAAATGATGATGCTGCCTCTCGACATGAGACCATGTCCAATGCGAGCAGTCGATATAGTCGCCAGGATTCCGAATCACGCGATTTTACAAGTGCTCCCGACATAGAATCAATGTCACCTGCTACTCCTCAAGCTTTTGCTGCACATTCACAAAATAATGATTCCGCCTCTACACCGCCTATGATGCCTACCGTTGGAATAAGTCTGAATCTGGGGGCCAATGCGAAGAAAAAGAAAATTGAATCTACCGCCGGAGTGTTTAGCAATGACGATGACAATGATGATCTCTCCAATCCTAAAAAACGAAAATTAGTACCTTTGGGTAAGTAGTTTTTAAGCTGAATTTTGAAATTTCAGATTATTATTTTGGGTTTTCATTTTTTACAGACTATGAAGACAATCAGACAAAACAGGGCTCACATTCGTCTAGTACGCACACAGGTGACAGACACGATGCTACTGGAGGAGGTGGGGGTGGAAGCGCAGGTGGTGGCATTGCTAGTGGTACTGGATCGTCAGCAGCTGGTGGTGGCGCTGGAAAGGGGGGAAATGCAACAACAAACAAAAAACATGGTAAGAATGATACTTCTGCTGCAGCTGCTGGTAATACAGATGCAGCAAATAGCAAAAAGGATGATAGTAGTGGTACAAAGGTACACGATGAAAAACGACGCCACATAAAAAGCATTATTGACAGGATACCCACCCAAAAGGAGGATCTCTTCAATTACAAACTCGATCGCAATGAGATTGACAACAATCTTATGGAACGGAAAATACGTCCTTGGATAAATAAGAAGATTATTGAATATATCGGTGAACCCGAGCCAACACTGGTGGACTTTATATGCTCCAAAGTTCTAGCAGGCAGTTCGCCTCAGAGTATTCTGGACGATGTTCAGATGGTAAGACCAAATCAGCCCCCTACACAGTGCTGTTAATAAATTATTCTCTACTTATTTTAGGTTCTTGACGAAGAAGCCGAAGTGTTTGTTGTCAAAATGTGGAGACTACTCATCTACGAAGTGGATGCTAAAAAGATTGGTTTAGGTAAATAATTTCTAATTTTAATGCAATTCATTTTTTGTGTGTATTAACAAAATTACATATTTGCAAATAATAATTATAGTAACCACATATAAAGAACAAAAAAAGAAACAAAACAAAAATGAAAAAAAAAAAAACAAATTAATATTAATTATTATAAAAGATTACAGTCAAAATATTAAACCTATCTGTCAGTCATTCAGGGCAAAGACCAACCAAACGACCGATAGATAACTATTCAAACAGACATGATTTAAATCATGACTGTCTGCCGCAGCTCTTGCAGCTGTTATACAGAATAAAAAATAACAGTAATATTTTACTTGAATAAATCTTTAAAGATTTTCACTATTTAAATGAAAAGCTAAGAAATTATTGTTTTTCTCCTGCAACATTTCCTATTAACTTGATATCGAAACAACGGTAAGATTAGTCAGTCAGTCAATCAAAACAATTATATATTTTTTTAAGTTTAGGTTTCCCAACCTACATTTGGTTTTTATTAATTTCTAATTATTAATCTTAACAAATTGCTGGTACACAAATATTTTATATATTTACTAAACATAATAATGATTAAGAAAAAAAAATGAATTAAAAAAAAATAAAAATAGGAGAATTAAAAATAAAATTAAAAGAAATAAAATAATTGTACAAATATTATATCTTTATTACATACATAAACAAGACAGACAGACACACAAGAAACAGTGCAGACGAATATTGTTGATTAAATACCATGATTAGAATGCATTCATTCCCACTGTTTACTAAATCACTTAATCAACATCTGCAACTGGATGCATCTGTAATATCAGAATCTTCATTAACATTGACAGTGTTTCCATTATTTAGGCTTTCATAGTGATCCGATGAAACAATCTGAAAGAAGATTAAAAAGGGATCAATTTATTGTTTTCTTTTTTTTTAGTGTTGAGGTAATTTTATTAATATCACTTCCTTTAACTTTCCAAATTATATCATTTTATTTTCGAATATTGAGGAGTTCAACAACAAAAGCTTTAGGCCCATTCGGATATGTATCACAGCATCTGATGATTATGAACGCACTACGCATCAAATACTGCAGCGATGTGATGCATTTCTGAACAGACCTTATATCAAATTAAAGAGATTTAAATTTTTCTAGTACAAGTGCCGATGTTCTGATAAGGAGTCGCGAACAAATGCCATTAAGTATTCGACCAAATTTCAACAGAAAGTACATAGTTTTCAAAATTAAATGTTTAAATTATCACTCCTATAGTAAATAGTTTCCGGGAGTTAAAGAAAGATTTAAAAAGCTTTCGATGAAAACAAATCCTTAACAGACGTAAAATAGTCAAATCAGTAAGAATTTTTATGTGAAATTTGGCATTCAGATGATCCACATTCGTCATCTTGACTTCTTCTTCTTTTATTCAATGTTCTTTATTTTGGCGCATGTGTTCCTTATTGAATGCATGTCTACTAGAGGCTCTGGTAGGTTGAAAGAGCAATTTTATGCGTCTCGGCTACAAAACAAAATAATCATCCACAACATCTAGCTGCAGTGTGAATTTAGTGTCATCATCTCCACCAGATTTTTCATTTACTTTTTATTTGTTTTCTACTAATAAAAGTTTTGTAAAAAGTCTTAAATTGTAGCTAAAATAGATGAACCAAATTTTAGATTTTTGACAGCTATAATAATCGAAACAAAAAGTTTGTGTGTAGTGAACAATAACGGGGACAATATCCCCCTATATATGAAAAATATGGGTGTTAGCAGTAGGATAAAATAAAGATGCCGTCCATACCCAAAGCTTTTGCGAGTTTTGTAACTGTCTTGACTAATCACATGTGAAATTTTTAATTCTTCAGCCCTCATTTACGAAATAGAAAAAATATATTTATATTCTGTCTTTTATAATCGAACAATAAGCTTCCGTTTACTTTACAACTCCTTCTTTTACAATAAAATTTAATGATGATATCACAGGCTATCCAAAATGACATCATTTTAAACCTACAAAATTTTAATTTAGGTGGATCATGAAAAAAAGGAAAATTTGCTTGAATATCCCAAGATTGCCAAAAATAAATTTCAAATCAATGAAATCCAGACCTGTTGGCACGTCTACAACTTACCTTTTCTACAATATCCCTAAAAACGTCAGCCACGAATTTATCATGTTTTGCTGAAGTTTCCAAAAATAACGATCGATGTTTACGGGCAAATTTCAAGCCTTCCTCTCGACTAATAACTCGTTCATTATCGATTTTGTTGCCAACGACTATTGTCGCTATATTTGGATTATCACTATAGTTTTCCAACTCTGTAAACCATGCTTCCAATTTGACTAACGATTCGCGATTTGTAATGTCATAAACAAGAATAGCTCCCAATGCTTTTCTGTAGAAACTTGGTGTTAGACTGCGGAATCTTTCAGCACCAGCCGTGTCCCACAAAGCCAATTTGTAATCAACACCATCGATATTCATCACTTTACTCTTAAAGTCCATTCCAATAGTAACATCGTGATTTTCGTCAAATTTATTTTCCACAAAACGGCGTATAAGACTGAAATGTTTCCAAAAGTAAAATGGTTAATAGTAAATCTATATATTTGTTGTAATAAAATCTTTGTATGTAGGCAGATGAATAAATAAATATTAACAAATCATACTCAAGTGTATGTAGTTTGTTTTACATTTTTTTCCAAATACGTAGTAAAGGTTGATGTCTAATTTAGTCATCAGGCGACACAATCAATGCTCTTAGTATGTTTGTTCTCTCGTTCAATGTTCCTTTTTTAGAACATGTATATCTACGATTTATTTACCTGGATTTCCCAACACCACTTTCGCCAATTACCAAAAGTTTTATAGCCTTATCACTAAGCATTTTTCTTTTCTGTTTGCAATTTATTAAATATTTAACATTAACTGTTTAAATACTATTTATTTACTGTTTAAACTTGTTAATTTTTGCAGAACAATAATGAAATATATAAAATCAGCAGCAGAGTAGCAAGAATGTTAAATTGTATTACCTCAAGCAGAGACCTGTGCCGACAAAAATTAACGACGTTAGTTGACAGTAAAATATGTCGGCGGCTTTAAAACGGCTGTAAAACGCCTAAGTTTTCTACGTTGTTTTTCAAAATAAAAACGGATTCCGAGTATTGGGATTTTGGAAGAAAATATTCAAAAAATCGAAAATTTTAAAATTGTCATATATAAAATTGGAATTTAATACAAATTAAGATAAAAAAACAATATTCTGCTGCGCCAAAAGTGGGTCAAGTCATCTTTTTTACCAAACACATAGTTTTTTAGCCAGACCTGGGCGATTTCCATTAATTTTGCATTAACATTAAATTAAAAAAAAATTAATTTAATGTAAAAAATATTGCATTAACATTAAATTTGTAAAATTTAATGCATTAAATTTCCATTAACATTAAATATTTTTGAATTTAATGCATTAATTTTACATTAACATTAAATATTTTTGAAATTAATGCATTAATTTTGCATTAACATTAAATATATCTGAATTTAGTGCATTAATTTTACATTAACATTAAAAAAGCAATAAAATGAATGCATTAATATTCCATTAACATTAATATATATAAAAATTGATAAACATAAATAAAAATACAGCACAAAAGACCTCGATCTAACTAAATACAACTAAAATTAAATAGGTTAAAGTCGTTTCTAATAACTCCTATATTCCATTCAAACTTGTGTGTTTTAAATATGATATTTATATAAGATTCCACAGACAAAATAAACTAAAAAAGGAATATCTGGGAAGTGAAACTATTCTTCTAATAAGTATTATCGTGTATAGGACTTATTCGAAAGGACTTTAACAAAATAAACTAAAAAAGGAATATCTGGGAAGTGATACTATTCTTCTAATATGTATTATCGAGTATAGGACTTATTAGAAAGGACTTTAACACATTCAATTTTACTTGAATTTAGTTAGACCGAGGTCTTTAGCGCTGTATTCTTATTTTTATAAATTATTTTATACATTAATGTTAATGGAAAATTAATGCATTAATTTTATTATTTATTATTTAATGTTAATGAAAAATTAATGCATTAAATTCAAAAATATTTAATGTTAATGCAAAATTAAAGCATTAATTTCACAAATATTTAATGTTAATGTAAAATTAATGCATTAAATTTAAAAATATTTAATGTTAATGCAAATTTAATGCATTAAATGTACCCATGTTGATGTTAATGCAATAAACTTGCATTAACATTAATTTTTTTTAATGTAGAAAAAACACATTTAATGCATTTATCCCAGGTCTGTTTTTAGCAACTAGGTATGTAAGTATTTATATCAAATGAAAGGCCCCAAAATCTTTCCTTTGAGAAAGTACAGCAGATTTATTATGCACATTTTCATACAAAATTCCTACAATAAACCATCAACAACTTTATTAAACAATTATGAATATGGGAGATAATGTTTCTAAGAACAAGAATGATTTTTTTTTTCGTAAAAAAATTAAGTCAAAAACAAAAATTTAATTTTTAAAAATTTTACATTAAATTATAATAAACTGTAGGAACCGGATAGCTTTGTACTCGAAATAAAACATATAAAAAATTATATTAATTTGTGTCGGTAATACAGTTTCGGCTGTGTTGATAATGGTGATGTAAAATATAGGGTTTCCAGTACCCCGTTTCTGTAACTTTTAGTGAGAAGTTCTCACATCGAGAAGTGTGAAACAAAAAATTCCATCGTTTCTCGATTTGTGAGTAAAAAGTGTTTCTGTAACTTAAAGTGAGAAGAGGCTACACGAATTACGTTTTTATTGGAAATTTCCAATAAAACAGCTGTCAAAAATATAAAAATTAAAAGAAGAAAACGAACAAATTTATAAACGAAGAATAAATAAACAAAAAATATAGAAATTAAATGAAAATTGTTCGAAAAATTATCCCACTAAATTCGCCCTTGCCAAATTCCAAATTTACGCCCACGTACTTTTTTAGCATTTGCTTCTGTACATACGAAATTCCTCGTATTTTCTAAAAATTAGTGAACAATATTTATTTTAATCTTAATTAATTATAAATATAACATTACTTTTTCATTATTTCATAGAATTCATGTTTAAATTAATTTTTTTTTTAATTAAAATTTTACTTTCCGCACCGTTTTAAAATGTGAGTTTTTTTGACAGTTCATGTGAGAAACTTCTCACAAAATTTTCTTACAGAAACACTTTTACTCTCAAATTTCCAATAACTTACTTCAAAAAACATAAATGACAGATAGTTCTCACAAAATTTTCTTACAGAAACACTTGCATGTGAGAAATGATATTTTGTTTCAATTCACATTGTTTTTTCTTCAATTTCACTGTTTCATGCGAGAAACTTCTCGATGCGAGAGTTACAGAAACGAGGCACAGTTCTATCAGTTTTATTTATCTTGATAAAATGTTTCTTACAAAAATCTGTAAAGTAATTGGGACGCAGTGCTATTTTAAAGTGTTTTTAAGTTCGAGTTATAGAATCTTTACTATAGGTAACGTCAGGGATCGCAAATGGGAGTTTGAAATTGTACAAAATATTATATTAAAATATAATTGCAAATGTATATCAATATGAAGCAAAACTCTCTCAAACCGGCTTTATATGTCCCTAAACTAATAAATATTTTAACTATTTTTAATTTTACTAATTTGAAGATTAGACCATACTCTAGTCAATAAATTAGAGAATAGACTAGTCTATAAATTGGACATTATAGTTGTATATTGTCACGTCTATTGAATAATTCATAGACTAGTGCTTAGACTAGTTAATAGACTATACCGTAGAAGCCATTTGACCAGTCCCAAGTTTAGTAAAAAGTATTTTAAGCTTCTGTTCAATATTTCACTTTAAAGACATCTAGGAAAGTCCAAATCCAAAAGCTCTTAAAAAATCACTCATTATTTTCTAAGCGAAATTGAAATCCTTGGCGGAACTACTGGAGGAAATATCGAACCCTAAAGTCGAGGGAGTTTCTGGAAACCCGTTTGTCAAGAACTGCATTCGTAACTACTAATAAACACATACATGTTACACGCATTTTTTTATTATTACTCACAATATCTTTTTGGAGGTCGCACTACACAACCACTTCTAGTCCTGTCCTAATAATGTCTAAATCACTACGTTTATCCCTAATATTACAACTCATACTCTGAGGTGGCACTATGTAGATCAGAGGCGCATTTCCGCCATCTCCACCCCCAACATTCTCTTCATATAGCAAATCACTAGCATTAAAATTAAAGTTGTCAGTCTTAAGAATCAATTGCCAAAATTATTAATTAACCCTTTTCACTACTACACCATAATGCCATTCCTTCCCATTCTTAAAAAGAACTAAATTTCCCTCATTTAATACTGGTAATGACTTCACGTTTCGATCATAATAATACTTTTGTCTATTTTTCTATTTTTCTTCATTTCAAACTTTTCCTGAACGAAATTATCCGTCAAAATATTTCTGATTAACAATGAGCCTGATACAAAGAATAAAGTGGATGAAAACAACTGCATACCGCATACAGGAGTTGTATTGTATTCTAAAATTCTTGGTATAACGCTACTTCATTTGCACCCTCCTCAGCTATGCCATTACTTTGTGGATATCGAGGACTTGAAAATTTAAATTTCTCTTGATCAAAAAGGACTATTATCACAAGTAAAGTAGGAAATCCAACTTTAAAAAATATCTGATTTATTTGTTTGATGATGTGTTTCGATGTCTTGTTGTTCAATGGTATTGTTATTAAATAATTAGAATAGGAATCAAAAATCTCTACCAGCATATTCAAATAAATCCATCGCAACGATATGTAAAAGATAGGGGATTCCTCTTGTATTAACTGCTCTTTCTGACTATTCCTTCGAAATTTCACACAAACTATACAAGACTGAACCATTTCTTTAATCATGCTAATCATTCCAGGCCAATAATATAATTCACTAGCCCTAGCCAATGTCTTTTCAGTGCCAAAGTGTGGCCCGTGCGACCACTTGATTATCTTGTCCTGCAGTTTTTCAGGAATGACGAGTATCTCAATATATCTAAAAATGCGACTGTATTTCTCATCCCCATCCAGACGTTGACACGCGAAAGCGATGGGATGCCCTTCCTGAAAAAATACACATCCCAATCCTTCCTTAGAGGCATTTGTTTTAACAGGTAATCTAGGATTATAAACTGCGAGAATAGGTTCGGAAGCAACAATAGTCAATAAGTTCTAAAACATAAAGTCTTATTAAATTACCGAGCTAAATATTTCACAAACCCAAGAAAGCGCAAAACGTCTGACCTTTCTTCGGTCTTTGCATCACAATATTTCCTTCCAGCCTTAATCTCGTTGTACGATATAATATTTCCCATGAAATTTACAAAATCTTTCCTGTATTGTATTTAAATTAAACATTATTATCTTTGCCCGTTGCATCACTAATCTTAAAATGTGATCCTGTTCGCACCTATCAAAATGTCTTCAAAATAAATATTAACACCTGGAATATCACCAAAAATCTCTGAAACACTTCAGGTGCACAAGTAAGGCCAAAAGGCAACCTATTAAATCTATGTATATCATCCGAACGGTGTCATGAATGTCGTTAAATCTGTTCTAAAGTGTTCTTGCTTAATACATTCATCATTTGGTTTCTCCACAATTTGCAAATTATTTATCCAATCGGTTGGATAATCTATGACTGAAATTATTCCGTCCTGAACCATACAATCCAATTCCGTCTTCAACATATCCATTAATGCATGCGGTACCCTTTTCCTATAGTTAATCACTGGTCGAGAATCTTCTTTTAAATAAATTTTGTATTATCCCGGGAACTTACCAAAATCGTGAAAAACATCATTGTACTCTTCAATAAATAAATCCGTAGCATCTGGCAATACAATTTTGTCTATAACCATTCATAAAGGTTATAACTCATTTCAGCTCCAGTATCAATCTACAATTTTAAAAATCTCCCCTTCAACTCAATATTCCTTAGTCCATTTCGTCCGATTTAGAATAGAATCTATTGTGTTCACTCTAAAATAATTTCCATTACTTAACTCATCTCCTACTTTCTTCATACAGTAAGACCCACCATGAATGTTACCCCAAGCAATACTACCAATTCCTCGTTTGTTGTTGCGACCACTATTATTATTATTGTTGTTATCGTCATCCTTCTTGTGATGTGTCCAACTTTTGAACATATGCGACAAGTAACGTCCTTTGCCTTGCACTCATTTATGTGCTTTGGAGACCAAGAATATACGCAATTAAAACAAAAACGTTTAATGGAGTCCTCCGCTGTTACACTGGCTACTACCACAATACTTTTGTTGACATTAGCCGCTTCATAAATTTTGCATGTTTCCAGCACCTTTACTAATGTTTAATCTATACCAACTAATAGCTTTATTTGCAATTTCTTGTCATGAACGCCAAAAATAATACGATCACGAAGCATTCTTTCTTCATAGAGGACGCCACAATTGCATTTAAATTCACAGAAGGGAAATTGCTTCCGAAGTTCGGTCTCAAACTCGTTAATAGTTTGTTTTTCTTATTTGAGAAATCATGTTAAATTTAAAATATTCCATTGCAACGTTCTTTTGTGATAGACAATAATCGTCAAATTTTTTAATAACATTACCCAATGATCTTTGAATTGTTATGTTGACCGGGTGCTCCGTAACTGGATCAACTACATGATAAGGAACATTTAGATAAGTTGCGAGATGTACGATATAACTATCAGGAAAAAGATATTTCGCGGTATACCACAGGGTGGCATTTTGTCACCTTTACTCTGGGTTACCACGATTAATAGCCTCCTAAGAACCCTAACCGATGTCATAATCAGAGTATGAAAACAAACGAAACATTTCGCAAACGTTTCCAAAATGTACAAAACTTTTCAAAATTTTTAAATCATTCTGTACATGAGCAAAACTAAAACAAATACTTTTTAAGTGAGAAAGAGCGAAAACAAAACAATTGACTTTTCACTCATCTACTTGCTTTTTTGCCTTTACAATCGTACATATGAGAACAAAACAAATGCAGAAACGTATTTTATGAAAGAATCATATAGTGTGTGTTTGATATCGTCTCATTTTTTATGGTTTTTATTTTGTTTTTGTTTTTATTACAACTGTATTTCACATAGGCATCTACAAAACTAAAAACTTTACAAGTTTTCTTTTAATACTACTCAAAAATGTTTTTGTAATGAGCAAAACAATCAGGAAACGTTTGCGAAAATGTTTTGCTCGAAACTTTTCAGTTTTGCTCCCATTGTTTTCTTTTCTAGCTGCGTACATTTGAGTTAATGTACATGTGCTCAGACGCAAAAACAATACAAAACCAAATGAGAAAATCGTTTTTGTTGTTTTGGTTTTGTTTCTGTTTTACTCACTGCAAAGATCAAAATAAAACAATTGCAAACGTTTCGTTTAGTTTATTTTCATACTCTGGTCGTAATACTTTTAAAAGGAAAGGATCCAAATTACTTGTGTAGAAGAGCTGAGGAGGCTCTGAATACGGCCCAGATCAAACGCAAATCTGTATTTTGACAAGAAAGACAAAAATTTCTACGTATAATGAACCTTGCTTCCAGGGCAAGAAGATACCGATGACAGACAAAGTTAAGTACTTAGGTGTAATCCTTGACCGGAAATTAGAATGGAGACACCACATTGATGATAGGATCAACAAGGCACATCGGTGCTGAGCGATATGTAGGAGAACTACAGGCATGAAATGGGGTCTTAGTCCTACTATGACAAATTGGCTTTATAAAAGTGTAAAAGACCAGTTCAATAATCTGCTTTGGATAAAAAGTGTAATATCAAACTACTACAGGGAGTTCAACGTACATGCCGCTAAGCCGGGTATAAGTAGTGCCATGTGTACTACTTCAACCAGGGCTCTGGAAACGTTGCTAGATATTCCACCCATTGAAACATATTTAAGATATGAGGCGGCGCTTACAGCCGAACGGCTCTTTTCTTTAGGCAAACTGGCCTAAAGCGGTTATAGGACACGTCATTTATGTATACTGGACACATTGGTAGGTTATACACAATCATCGATCGTGTCTGATCGCATACCAGACACAGAATATGTCGGAAACTTTGATCCCAGATAGAATGTCTTGGTCAAGCGGAACATTAGAGCAAATACCAGTAGGAATCCGTTGTTACACGGATGGCTCTAAATTGGGGGACAAATTGGGACTGGGGTTCTATATTGAAGACCCAGAAACAGAAATATACCACCGTTTACCTAATCATAACAGAAGTCCGTGCAATAACGGAATGCATAAATTGGATTAGAATAAATATGGCGCACACTGCTCTTAATATATTTACCGACAGCATGAAGGCAATTAGGGTGATATCAGGTGATAGAATTATATCTAAGACCGTATTGGATTCAAAGAAAGCTTTAACTGAATACTCTCCCAGAGGTAAGGTTTACATCATACCAGACCACTCGGGAGTAGTCGGCAACGAAAGGGCGAATGTAATAGCTTTAAAGAGACGGGAGCTCGAGGTAGTTAACCTGACAAGCGCAAAACCATTTGGCGCAATAAAAGCTTTTTTTCAAAATGTGTCTGACCTATTATCCAATAGTACTAACCATGCTGCAAATTTCATCCAAATCGATTTTTTGACTTGGGTCACTTGACACGAAATTGCCCAAATGTATGTATGTATGTATGTACAATATAGATTTTATGTACAATATAAAATGCAACAAGTTGTAAGTTTAACTTAAGCAAGCATGTTTTTTACATTTAATAAAGTGCGTAGTATGTATTTATGTACTAGGATTAAAAAATGCTGTTCCTTGAACTAAGAACTTACAAAATTTAGAAAGAGTAAAAAATAAAATGCATTAAAGACACATATGTATGTACATACTTTTATATTTATTTGGGTTTTTACTTACTTTCTGCATTCTACTTTGTATATTTGTCATACGATCTGTTCAAAACTGATTGCCTGCCTGTTGCCGTTGAGAAATACAAAACAACAATAAAACTACCACTAACTACAACAACAACAACAATAGTACACGGACATTTTTACTACCACCAGCAGCGGATTAATCGAATAACGAAAATACCACCACTAAACTCCAAATAACAAAACAAAAAAAAATAAAAACTAACGATGAAAAAACAAAATCCAACGTAACGACAACCACAACGACGTAATAATATAAAGAAATAAATACAAAAACAAAATCAAATCATGTCTCGCTGGAGCACACAACAAAACAACAATAAAACATAAAAGCAAAAATAAAGTTAAGTAAAGCAACAAACTTTAATGCTACACTAGTCTCACATTAACAGTCGCCAAGTAACGATCTAAAAGTAAAAACAGCGCTCTGATCGGACGAAAAGTGATTACAATTACACTCACTCTTCCTCTTCTTTTCATTATTATTATGATTGTATTGTGTTCAATTCTGTTTTAGTCATTTTGTTCGCTAGTTGATAATAAGAATTAGATCTGAGTTAACGAATAAGAAAACAAACAAAGAAAGAAAGAAGCAAACAAAAAAAAAATAAAGAATAAAATCTTGGAAAAAGAAACGAATTAAGAAAATTAACAAAGAAAAAACACGTTTAAAAACGAAGTCGAGAACAAAAAAGAAAGAAATAAAAATAAGAACTACTCACACATTTACATTCATAATATTTCATTTGAGTGACTGAATGTTTGTGTATGTTTGTATGTGCATGCAGAAAGCAGCAAATTCAGGCAAATTATAAATTGAAAGAACTGTTGAAAAAGGCAACAACAACTTCAACGAAGAGAACTGTAGAATAAAGCAACCAAGCACTTTTTTATTCTTTTATCTGTCTTCTCAAGAACCAAAATAACAATCAGTAAATAAATAATAAAAAAATATACATTTGTGTATACATTTTGATTTTTTTTTCGTATTTTATGAGACTTTAATGTTTTTTCGTTGTTGATTCCTTTACTGCTTCAACTTCTTTGTCGCCTGTTTCTTCGTTTGTATAATTTAAAACAGCGTATCAACCAACGTCGCAATAGCTGCTGCTGCTCCCTCTCCTTTAATTGTGTGTGCTTTTGAATGCAAGTAGTGAGTTGGTGTGCGCCCGCCCGTCTTCCAACAAATGCAAATAATAGTGTGTTAGGCGATCATTGTGTTATTGACTGGAGAGTTTTTGCTAATATTTTAAAAATAATAGTAATAAAAAAGAAACACGCGTAATTTGGAGAACATAGTTCGTTTAGTTGCATTGCATTGGAAACAAAATTTCAAATTGATTTTCTAACTCTCTTGGCAAATCAATAGAAAACTACAAGTTATAATTGCATCAATTGTCGATACTCGTCGTCCAACACCGCAACTAAGACAATAAATAAACAATAATAAATGCAAAAAAAAAAAATAAACAAAAAAAATTAATAGCAATTGAGAACAATAATTTAAAATACGTACATACATGTAAAGGAATGAATACAATTAATTAAGTTATTTTAAACAAATATGACAAATCAATAACTAACTATAAAATTATAATAGCGAGCGTATAATAAGAATACAACAACAATAAAATCAACAAGTGTTTCAAGTGTTTGTGTTTAAAACAATAACAAAATTGACTAATAAGAAAAATAAAAACAAAAATTCCAATTGCTTAGCAATTTATCTATAGTCGTCAACTCTAGCCCTGTTGCATGTCATTGTTATTGCATTAATTTTTTTAATATAAAATAATACAAAATGTCTGCAGCAATTGTGCAAAATAATACCTCGACTACCACAACAACTTCAAACTCCAACAGAGCCATTTATTTTGATTGCGGTGACATTTTTACAACGGTAAGTCTCTCCCTTTACATTGGGCTTTACACTTTTTGAGTTTTCTTTATTCTAACTTATTTTTATTTACAATAAAATTTACAAGCCTCAAGGGCAAAAAGGACATGGGAATTAATGAATTTTATCTTGAAAAGTACTTAATTTTTCTGAATAATTTTTAAATAATTTATGTTCCAAGGTCTAGTCTTCTGCTATTCAGTTAAATATAGCTTAACTTGTTATGTTAAATACGAAAGAAATTTAATCGGAGATTAAACAATGATTGTATAGGGCTTTATAGCTCGAACAAAAAGTCGACTTTTAGACTTTTTCAATTTCGACTTTTATAACTTTTCGACTTTTCTCGACTTCTTTTGCTAGTCAAAAAAAAAATAGCGAGTTTTTCTGATACTATTCTATTTTAATTGTTTAAACCTAGCTTAAACTGAATTTTGTGTTTTTCTATAATCGTTTAGTTTCTTTGTTATCTCGGTTTATCTGAGTATTATTGACCAGTTAAACATAAAAATTTTGGAAGTGTCGAAACACAATCAGTTTAAATTTGTTTCGAGTTTAATCCAACAGCATGTTAAGCCACATTTAACTGAGTAGTAAGTAAGAAGCTAAGCTAAGTGCCTTTTCACACCTCAAATCAGGCTCTCGTTAACTGTCATTTTATTGATTGTGTTATTGTCGGTTCACACAGGGAAACTTTTTTGAGAAACTTTTGATTTTGTGTGTGAGAAAAAGAGAACGAAATATCAACCATCTCTTTCTCCCACACACAAACTCAAAAGTTTCCCTGTGTAGAACTGCCACTTAGTAAAACAAAATGACAGTTTGAGTGATAAGTGTGGACAAGACGCTTTCAGCTAAAAAATTAATTTTAGTATAAGGTAATTTTAAATGAAGAATATTTTTAATTTTCAGGAATTTTTTAATAAAAATTTTTTAATTGTTCCCTGTTAAAGTAACTACTTAAGCAATCAAATTTAAAACAATTAATCACTTTATAATATAATAACATTTAAAGGATTATTTGAAATTTAAGACACACACAAGTTTGTTTCTTTTTTATTATTTTTAAATACATATACATACATATTTCAATTTGAGATCTTCCTGGTGTAAAATAATTACCACATGGCCAGCTAACTCATGCATATCGCAAAAAATACAACAACAACAAAAAAGCAAACGACAACTATATTTAATGAATCAGCGAATATGAGAAAACAACACCATTTTTATAGACGAAAACAAACCTTTGTACACATAGTTCATGGAATACACTTCATACATACATATGGACATTCGTACATACACTTCTTGATAAATAGAATTCAAAGCTAATTACAATGATTTTCATGTTCTTAGTAAGTATTTATAATTTAATAAAAAAATTTATAATTTAATAAAAACATGTAATCAATTTATATATTGGAGAATTCCCGAATTGCTTATTAGGTTTTTTTTAAAGAAATTAAGAATTATTTGTAATATTCAAAATCGTCCTCCTTAAGTTATAATACAACTATCTAAAAAGCTGTCCACAGACCGAAATTAGTATCTTCTGCAGATTATTTTATTTTAGTATACCAAATTTCTCTCTGCTCAGTTGTCTAAATTTTAGATTAATCAGAATTAATGTCTCATCCTCCTATATTATTAACATATACATACATATGTATATATATTTCAAGATCCAATTGGGCCCATTCAGACCAAACGAAATTATGCAATATCGAGATTTCAATCGAAATCTACTCGAAATGAGGTAATTTATCATATATTTTGTTAATTTAAATCATTTTGCTTAATGTTATTGAAATTTCCTTGAAATCACAATGAACATCCCTGTCTGTAAATAGTACCTACTTTTACAACTATGCACAACAAACAAATAATAAAAACTTCAAAACATATCAAAACAATACAATTTATTTGAAACTGTTAAAAAATTAACAAAAGTGATAAATGTGATTATTTAAAGCTTAAAAAGTTGTATTTTACGCAAAAGAAGTTTTTTTGCTTACATTATTTATAGAAATTATAATAGCTCCAGATATAGACAAAAAAAATCTGATTTTTTGTGACCTGTGACCGCCAATATCTCGCTTAAGCTGGAGGTCCACACCAGACGTTCTACACTTTTTCACAAGTGAAACTTGTGTATGAAGAGATATATAAAATACAGCTAAAAAAAAGAGTGTGAAACTTGTGTTGAAAGAGATAGAAATAGTTTTTTGCTCGTGAAGCCTCTGTATACCCTGTAGGGTGATCGACTCGATTTTTCAACCGGTTTTAAAACCGGTTTTTTCTGCTTTACCAGTGTCGGTTTTTTCTTAATGTTGATTTTTCGAATATCGAATAACCCGGTTTTTTCACTTTTTAAAAACTGGTTTCGAATACTTTTATTTGCTTTGTATTCAAAGATTATTTAAATGAAATTTTTAAGTAAATAATAATACAGCCCGCCTAAATTTTAAAAATATTCGAGTCGAGGAGCTAGCGTATATTTTACTAAAGCTCCTTTGGTTAAACTTTTTTGATTTTCCTAATTAATTAAAAAAAAACTTATTTGTAAAATTGATAACTATTTGATAAAATTTTATCAATCTTAAGATTATATTCCAATTACAATAATTAATTTACGGCTGAAATTTTATGGAAGTGTTGGAATGCCTATGCAAATTTCCTAAACAGGGCTTTTAAAATAAGCTAGGATTACATAGTACCTTATGTTTAACAGAAGTGTCCCACTTTTTTCTTAATTTTTTTATATTAATGAAATAATGTAAATCAGACGACTAGATCTAAAGTTATACTCTTTTAAACTGTTAAAAATAACTTCGGGCCATGTTTTATTAATCAAATTTAAACATAAACATTAAGTTTTTCAAATCAAATATGTTTTTTTATTTATAATGAAAAACCGGTTAACCGGTTTTTTCTGAATTTGAAAAATATCAACCGGTTTTTTTTAAATGTCAACTATTCGAAGAATTCGAAAACCGGTTTTTGGAAAATGTCGAATAATCGATCACCCTAATACCCTGTGACAAAAGCTTAGAAAGCCTTGACGCGTAGGATTCTTAAATCTGGAGGTCTACACCACGCGTTCTACGCTTCTTCGCATTCTAATCGGCTGTCGACGAAAAGTCGACTTTTCGACTTTTTTAATTTAGTTAAAAGTCGACTTTTAGACTTTTCGACTATAACCCCCTTATTCACAAACAACATTTTTATTTTATAAAAGCTTTATAAAACAAAATTTCCATACGAAATCTAATTTATAAACTGTTTATAAAATAAAAATTTTGTTTATGAATAAGGTGGTAAGTATTTTATAAATAGTCGACTTTTTCCGACTTATCGATTTTTTTCGACTTTTTGACTATTTTCGACTTCTTTCGAATTTTTTTCGACTATTTTTTGACTTTTTTCCAGTTTTTCCGACTATTTTAGAGTTTTTGACTTTTTTTCCACTTTTTTAAAATTTCCGAATATTTTGGGCTTTTTTCTACAATTTTCGAGTTTTCGACTTTTTTCGACTTTATTCGACTTTTTTCGACTTTCCGACTTTTCGGCTTTTATTAACAAAGTCGACTTTTCGACTTTTTTCACAGACGATAGTCGAGTTATCGACTTTTTTGGAACAAAATAGTCGACTTTGACTTTTTTCGACAAAAAGTCGATTATTCGAAAGTCGATTTATAGAACCCTACTGGGCTGTCATATATGATTTATACAATTTATATTCTATTTTTAATGTGTATTTAACAATTTGAATAAACTAAAACGAGTTAAATTGTGAGAAAAATGCGAAGTTCTTTATAAATAAAGCAAAAAATTGACGCTTAAGAAGCGTAACATGTAACTTGATGCGTAGGATGCAAAGAAGGTATGAAAGGTACGAAATACTTTGACGCGAAAACACGTAGTGTGGACCTCCATCTTAAAGTAGATCTACTTTTATAAGCGTCAAAAGCGACGCACTAATATGTCAGCTGATTTTAACAATTTATATATAATTTTTTTAATGTGTATTTAGGAATTTTAATAAATTAAAACGAGTTTAATGGTGAAAAATAAGTGAAAGCTGCAGAAAAACGTGAGTTCTTTATATAAATAAAACAAAAAATTGACGCCTAAAAGCGAAGAATTGCAAAGTACGCAGTGCTTTGATGCTAAAACGAGTAGTATGTACCTTAATGGACTAATTTTCGTGATATAAAAATGGTTTTTATATTTCTCCTTTCTATAAAAATTAAAGTCGTCCTTTACCCATTAATCAGAATTCGTCAGGAATTTGGGGAATACAGAAACTTTTATGAAGAATACATAATAAGAATTTATATAAGGCGCTTTCTGCAGGATAATTAATAAAAGTTATAAAATGAAGATGTTCAGTTGTTTTGGAACATAAGGATTCCAATTCGAAGGCGACATAACGTTTACGATTATTTCGATCTGCAAAAAACACAAAAGATCTTAACAGTTTAAATCGAAAGCGAATTGTCAAATCAGCTGTAAGAATGTCATTTCAACAACAGATTTTTTAAGTTCCAAAATTCTCGTATATAAGCCTTGATTCTTATCTAGTCTCTACGTGTAAACAAACCAAGGGTTATATATGAGAATTTTGGTTATTACGGAACTTGGAAAATTTTGTATAACCAAGGTCATTCTAACAGCTGATAGTTATTTGTTCATAAGAATTTGTTAGTAATATACTCTGTTTACATCTGTCTATCGTAATTAATTCATTATTCAAATAGTTTCCATAACTTTTAATCAATAACAAATATTACCAGATTATCTGCTTGTTTATTTTAAGAACTTAATCATTTTATAATCTAAATTTAACTACTTTCATAAAACGGACTAAAAAAGTCAACAGCCTACTAATAATGTAAAATTGTACAAATATATAAAATGATTTGAAGTTGCTACGATCAATTTTAATACCAGAACATTTTATCTGCGTAATGTAATTGCCTTCGTCTACGATACGTTAT